GGTGACACTCACGTGTGCCACCGGGGGCCGCAGCAGCGCCAGGCGCGGGGCGCGGCCGCCGTAGGTGTCCCCCTTGAGGGTGAAGGTGGCCAGGTGGCCGTCGGCGCTGAGCAGCACCCCGAAGGGATCGGCCACGGCGCAGTGCACGATGGGCGAGCCCAGGTCCACGGGGACAAAGTGCAGCTGGGTCACTGCGGGGACAACAGTGACACAACAGTGTCACCATGGGGTCACAGCAGGGTCACATCAGTGTCACATCACCCCTGTGTCACCCAAACCCACGGGGACAAAGTGCAGCTGGGTCACTGTGGGGACAGCGGGGTCACCAGGGGGTCACAGCGGTGTCACAGCGGGGTCACCAGGGGGTCACAGCGGTATCACATCACCCCTGTGTCACCCAAACCCACGGGGACAAAGTGCAGCTGGGTCACTGTGGGGACAACGGTGTCACCAGGGGGTCACAGCGGTGTCACATCACCCCTGTGTCACCCAAACCCACGGGGACAAAGTGCAGCTGGGTCACTGCGGGGACAGCGGGGTCACCATGGGGTCACAGCGGTGTCACATCACCCCTGTGTCACCCAAACCCATGTGGACAAAGTGCAGCTGGGTCACTGTGGGGACAACAGTGACACAACAGTGTCACCAGGGGGTCACAGCGGTGTCACATCACCCCTGTGTCACCCAAACCAACAGGGACAAAGTGCAGCTGGGTCACTGCGGGGACAACAGTGACACAACAGTGTCACCATGGGGTCACAGCGGTGTCACATCACCCCTGTGTCACCCAAACCCACGGGGACAAAGTGCAGCTGGGTCACTGTGGGGACAGTGGGGTCACTGGGGGTCACAGTGGTGTCACATCACCCCTGTGTCACCCAAACCCATGGGGACAAAGTGCAGCTGGGTCACTGCGGGGACAGCGGAGTCACCAGGGGGTCACAGCGGGGTCACATCACCCCTGTGTCACCCAAACCAACAGGGACAAAGTGCAGCTGGGTCACCGTGCGGACAGCGGGGTCACAGCGGTGTCACCAGGGGGTCACAGCGGTGTCACACCCCTGTGTCACCCAAACCCATGGGGACAAAGTGCAGCTGGGTCACTGCGGGGACAGCGGGGTCACCAGGGGGTCACAGCGGTGTCACATCACCCCTGTGTCACCCAAACCCACGGGGACAAAGTGCAGCTGGGTCACTGCGGGGACAACGGTGTCACCAGGGGGTCACAGCGGTGTCACAGCGGTGTCACCAGGGGGTCACAGCAGTGTCACACCCCCTGTGTCACCCAAACCCATGGGGACGAAGTCCAGCTGGGTCACTGTGGGGACAGTGGTGTCACCAGGGGGTCACAGCGGTGTCACATCACCCCTGTGTCACCCAAACCAACAGGGACAAAGTGCAGCTGGGTCACTGTGGGGACAACGGGGTCACAGCGGTGTCACCATGGGGTCACAGAGGTGTCACAGCGGTGTCACATCGGTGTCACATCACCCCTGTGTCACCCCAAACCCATGTGGGGACAGCAGTGACACAACAGTGTCACCAGGGGGTCACAGCAGGGTCACAGCGGTGTCACATCACCCCTGTGTCACCCAAACCCACGGGGACAAAGTCCAGCTGGGTCACCGTGGGGACAGTGGGGTCACCAGGGGGTCACAGCGGTGTCACATCACCCCTGTGTCACCCAAACCCATGTGGGGACAGCAGTGACAGAACAGTGTCACCATGGGGTCACAGCAGTGTTACACCCCTGTGTCACCCCCTGTGTCACCTGCCAATGTCACCTGTCACTGCAGCCCCAAGAATGGCCCAGCAGTGTCCCCCTGGTGCCACCCTCTGGTGTCACCTCTTCCTCTGCCACCCCCTTGATGTCACACCTGGGGACGCAGCAGGGCCCGTGTGACACCCTGGTGTCACCCCAGGTGTATCCCAGGTGTGTCCCAGGTGTCCCAGGTATTCCCAGGTGTGTCCCTGTCCCCAGGTGTGTCCCAGGTGTGTCCCCAGGTGTCCCCCAGGTGTGTCACTCACCGCCCTGCAGCAGCCGCAGCCCCAGCGGTGACACCTGCACGATGAACTGGCCCT